CTTCTAGAACATTCCCAGGGACCCACAGAGGCCAGAGGCTTCTCAGACTGTCTCCCAAGGCTCTATTCAAAATTCACTTGCGCTTGTTTTCCTCCGCGTTACCCATCACACCTCTCCTTTGTCGTGTCTTCCAGGAGGTGACCGCACTGATAACTGTCAAGGCGCGTGTTTCATTTCACTTCAATACTCTTCCTTTCTATAACAGGAAACAGTGCAGGGATGAATTTCCCATCATGCTCTTTTGTAATTTGGTTACTTAAATTGATTTGCACAGTGTATTAGGTATACCCATGGTATATATTGTGTACAGGAATGCTATTTCCCGGTATACAGTACTTCTCATCATCCATAGACAAATCAGGAATAAATAAGGAGGACTGGATGTAATATACTACTGTTATATAAGAGCATTGGCATAGTATAATATTTTCATTTCAGTATTCAGTAAAAAAAATCCAGATTAAGAAGAGTCAATGTCCCCGTCTGAACCATCTCCCCATGTACAGTATGTCTGAGCTGCTTGTGGAAACCATTCAAAAAACATATACTGAGTGACAATCCTACATTATACCTGAAGAGAAACAGTGTTGTGTTGTCAACTGTCTGATAGTGAGATTCTTGTCCAGCACACTTAACAAAGACTACCTGACATTAAAAAGCATTCAAAGAGCACATTGAACACATGGTTCAGTGCTCCAGTATATATTTTTTAAAAATCTACGTATCATTTGGTATTAAGAATGCACTGCAAACCCTGCTATTCTAACATGTTCTGTACATTTTAATATAATATTATGCATTCATACACCTGGGCTGTTCTGCAATATACCGGCACTGCTTTGATAAAAAAATATATATACTTGGGGAGCTTGATTAAGGAAAGAATGAGGCTTGAAAAGTCTGTATTTCCTTTTTACAGCCTTTATCACCTTCTAGTTTTCACATGTGACCATGTGGTAGACTAAAATAAAGGAGTAACATGCTGCTTATGTTTTCTTAGATTTAGAAATTGAACTTTTCTTATAATGATTCCTTAAATTAGTAAATATGTCATTCTCTTTTTTTCCTTCAACCACACGTGAGTTTATGACGAATTTACGTAACTGTCACAGCTGAAGAATTAGCTCGTTAATGATTCCTTTGCACGCTCTGATGAGTCTCTATAATACAAACGGAAGGGTTCCGTGCTTTGCTAGAAGGTCACATACTGTGCTTTCTATTTTAAATGTATTTGCGTATTGCTAAGAGAATGGCATTGCCTTCATAAAAAGCCAAAAGTTTTTGTTGAAAAGATGGATGAGATGGTAGGTAGAATTCTGGCAGAGTTCACTGCAGACATACTGTACTGATATTTGTATCACGCTTCTCGTCCCCATACTAGGATTATCAGTGTATTCCAAATGGATTAATAAGAACACAAAGGTTACAAACAAGAGGAGGTCATTTGGTACACTTGGGATTTAGTAACTAATTGAGGATTAGACATTTGGTTTTTCATCGATCCAGTTAGATCACCATACAATTCACTGTATTCAGAAAGACATTCCTCTCCAAAACTACCAGTTTACGAAAATGCATTTCCAGAATTTAAGAACAGAATTTGAAGAATCCTATCATCATTACAAACTGCACTGTCTTACTGTGGGAACGTTCTTCATATGCCTCGACTTGCAGTTGGGGCCTTCTAGCATTCTGGACATCTTAAATTCCAATGTTGTAACAACCATTACAAAATGTGTGAAACAATTTCTGCAGCTTTTTTTTTTTCCAAAGGCCAAGCCTACAGTGCATCCGGCTTTAGTGTTTGTAAGCAAGGTGCCAGTGCAAAAAAACAGGATAGCTTAGGAAGAGCTTGTCTGACAAGCTTCTACGCACCCCACTAAAATATCCTTAAGGCATGAATTAATTAATAATGCCTGTGCACATAACAAGGTCATAAACAGTGACACGCGCTGCCTGCTAAACTGATTTTTACATGGTTCTTTTACAACAGAATAATGTTTTCGTATCCACCTAATAAATATTGCATTGGATTCTATGTTTCACAGATGTAATTACAACTCCCTTCTGAAGAGCCAGTTAAATTATCGGGGTGTTTATTTTTCTCTACCAAACCTGACAAAAAATGCATCATCTTTTAGATCAGTTCTCCACTTCTGCTCAACTTGTTTCTGCTCTATTCTTATTCCCAATGCAGAAAATGATTAAGAATACAAGTAATGCAGTTTAACAGCTTCATTTTGTAGACTAGCAGGCCACTTTATTTGGAACAAATTAAGAGTGGTCACTATTTTTCAGAGTGCAGACGTGTCAGAGGCCAGCAGGCCAGCTGAGCAGTTGGACCCTGTGCGGTGTTCTTTGCAGTCAAAGACGAGTGGATGAACAGGACGGAGGAGAAGGTTCAGCAGTCTTTTATCCGAAAGGGGCTAGGCTGTAGATTTGGTAGAAGGCGAGATCCGAGGTTCAAATCTGAAAAGACTAGAGAACCCGGCCTGGAAGGTGAGGTAAGGAGCTGGTAAAGGAGAGACCAATACCGGGCTGTGAACAGAGTGTAACGCAAGTTTAAGTATTCCGGGAGGTGGAGGGTGCGGTGATTTGTAAAGTGTCATGGTTGGTTGATTGGCCAGAGTGATGTCGCTTGCCGGAAGTGCTCAGTGCTGGAGTGCAACTAGGGTGAGGACGTTTCCGTGTTGGAATCTGGTTAGCTGTGGGCGTGACAAGAAGCCCCATTTTCTCTTACAAAAATTATTATGATCAGTATTTTTTTCCACAGTTTCATGATAAGAGCTTTCGAAAAGGCAAGGATTATATTTCTAAAACATATAGCATGGTACATGACCAGGTGATAGTGAATGCAGTTACGTAATGTAATGTAATGTAATTATTTGGTATTTAACTTATTAATTAACTCATCTGAAAAGAAGAAAGATGGGGACTCCAATGCACTGTGGTATGCAAAACTCTTGTTTTATAGCAGAAAGAGACACAAAGCTACTACTAATTTGGCCGAAGACCTTCATCAGAACATTAGGATCACAATACTAATCTCCTTTGTATACTAATATACCTTATAAAATTTGTTTTAATTAGTATTTTGAAGAGTGATCACACTACTTCCATTTGACAACATACTGTATGCTTTTTGTCAACGTTGAAGGCTGATTCCATTGACAGGCCTTTGTTAGCTCTGTTGCTGTATACTGTACAAGTCTGATCCTATTCAGTTGGGTATCAATATTGTCAAGATTCCTTGTCATTATCGATACAAGTGAAAGAAAAGAATTAGCAGGATCTCCGCATGCTGCCTCCATTCGGGATCAAAGTGGAAGCTGCTGTGATGGTTTCTTGGTGGGTAACTGCAATTAAATACTTACAGTAACAGCAGTATGTCATTCAAAACATGTAATGGGGCTCTGCCATCTATCCCTTGAAACCTCATTTAATCAGTCTGCTGAACCCACCAGGATATCCAAACGGAAGAAGGATTTAGTGCAGAACATTCTGCATTCAAGCTCTTGGATCCGTCTTCACAAACTGGGTGGGTCAAGTCTACAAACATACTAGGAAATCACTGCAGCTGGGCTTTACTTAAGATAGCAGACTGAACAAGATCACTAGGGGCAGAGAAGAGAAGGCATCTCATTGGGATGACGGAACTGTGGCCTGTGTTCACAAAACTACCTTAGAAATGAGCATGACTGAGATGGGGTGGTGTACTGTACACACTGTTTCACGGTTTAGTATGTTTAGAATACAGAAAATGAACATACAGTATAGTGGAAACAAATTGCCATTTTAAGAAAAATCAAAAATCACTGATCATTTCATTTAATTTACTGTATTTTGGAATGCATAATTTCAAGAACATAAAGTACAGAAGAAAAATAATAAATGAGAGGTAATGTGGACTATCTAGCCCATTTGTTACTTAGTGGCATTGTTATTAACAAGAATATTGAATTATATTATTAGAAATCTTTCATTATTAATACACATATTTATATTGTACAGGCTACAGTATAAATTTAGCTAATCTAATTCATTGCATAGTATAAAGGAAAATATGTACTTTGTGAATATCTCCTAATGTAGATTAACATGTAACCAAGTACCAAAGAAATTCTGCCTGCTACTGTATGTCATTCATGCACTGCTCTTTTACATTAACATCTGGCTTCTGCTTTACTGTTCCATATAGTATTAGTCTGTATTTCTTTGTTAAAACTTTATCAGCTCAGTTAAGGATATCTTCTATGCTGTCTCAGCTCCCTCTGAAGGTTCACACAAACAGTCAGTGGTTACACTTTCGGTCTTCACTGATAGCTGCTGAATTCCATCAGACTGAAGGATAAAGGAATTTGAAATGTGGCCCCTCAGACTGACTGCCATGCTTAGCCTTGTGCGATTCAGTTTCAGAAAGGAAGACATTTGTTTCTGATGGAGACTTGTTTATGTCCCCAACTCCAGCTGGCTTACGACAGTTCTGTATTTGTGTGAAATGTTGGGCTACTGTAGGTACCATCCTGGACACTGAATATATTGGCCTTAGCCGTCTCCTTCATCTCATTGATACGGAATGGTTTTCCTGTAACAAAACTGTCTGCAGTTATTTGAGCACATTTGCAATTAGTGCTGGGACAATCCTAGCATATGGAAATGCTCACATACCTGTCTGTGATTTTGTTACTTGTTTAGACATTAACTTCTGTAGATTGGGCATACATCTTTGGCTGGATCAGTCTGGGACTTTTTGTTACTGCATGTTTCACCAATTTGTACTGTATCATACAGCTTCCACATCAACTCCAATTCCAATCAATGGATAGAAAGGTGGAACAGCATATCAGTGAGATACTTATCATCAAGTGAATCATTTCTGCTCCTTACAAACACATTTAGTATTTGTGCGCTCAAATTGCACATCCGATTAAATATCCACATATTCTTCCCAGCACTATTCGCAGTACAGTTTTATCAGGTTACATTTAAATATGTATTACCTTTTCGTGTGAGGTCAAGTCTTGCATTGTCAATGCTGAAGAAACAGCCAGGAGGATCTGAAATAATTAAAAAGATCAAGATGTACACATCTACTTGTATACCAGGAATATCATTGATAAACTGATAATGTGATCAGTAGTGGAATATTGCCAGAGTGATTTCCACAACTGAGTTTCACAACCTGACTGCTTATATACTGCTATTAATGTTCCAATGTTGTACACTGGTGGCACAGCAGTGGTACAGACAAGGGGTGTCCAGTCCTGGTCTTGGACACCTTGCTGTCTCTGCAGGCTTTCAAAGGCTCTTCATCGCAGCAGCTTGCCAGTTTAAATTGTTAAATTGGTCTCATTAATTCAATAATGAGCTGATTAAGCTTGCTAAGCTGAGTTGAAATGAAAACCCACAGGCAGACAGACCCCCCCCCCATGCCCAAGATTGCCAGCCCCCTGGGATAAACGATGTACATATCATCATGAAGATAACCATGATCATGATCGCGGCAGCTGTCATGAAGACATTCTAACTGGAACTCAAAACTGGGGAAAAAAATGAGTCACATTTCCCAATACTATTGGTAGGATATTCGAAAGTCAAAGACAACCTAAGCTGAACCACCACTGTTCCACAGCATGCTTTTGGGCACAGACAAGAGACCTGCGTCACAGGGTTCATATATAACTGGACAAAAGTTCAGTGGTGTACAGTAAGTGATGGACAAGCCATTCAAAGCCCTAAAAATTACAATATTGGACTCAACTAGAAACCAGTGCAGAGACTCAAGAACAGATTTAATAGGGGACATCTGATAAGGATTTACCAGCAAGTACTGGACTAAACCCAAGCATTTCCATAATCAGTTTGGGAGGAGACAAAGGTGTGAGCTAGTCTTTCCTTGTCATGAATTTACAGGGAAGGATGAAAAGGATCAACATTCCTAAAATGGATAGCAATGTTCCAAACACGAGTTTTAAAAGGAACTCAGCGTTGTCCCACTTTAAATACAAAAAGTTTTGTTACACCTAAAACTAAAAATCAGTAAAATAGTTGGTCAAAACTGAGACAACTACAGCACATCAGCATCAGATTTACTATAGCTGAACAGAATAAAATTGAGTGCCATCAGCATAAAAGTGGAATTTTACCTCACTATGTCTCAGAACGGCCACAAGAAAATATTATTTATTTCTTCAATTGTTTTATGGAAACAATATAACTTAGTAACTTTCTCTACAGGTTTTCATTGGAGATCACTGTGAGAAGTAATTGTTTCTTTTAAAAATGTACGTTTCTTTAGACACACATATTGCCACAAATTTATATACTGTAGGTTCATTAAGTAGTTTCAATAAAAACATTTGAATGGGCACCTGATTCTGGTAAATCACTTGTAAAAGTTTTGAGAAGGGCTGTAGCTAAAGCCCAGAAGAAACTGAAGATGTGGTTCATTCCTGTTAAGACACAGATTTCTGTTTTGCAGTCCTTTACTGTTAACATATCATTTACCTTCTTTATATTTTGTTTTTCCGGCCTTAATTTATGGTTCGCAAATGAAACTATAAGATGCTGATGATTCCTTTCAGAAATTAAGTAACTTTTCATGGGCCACTGATAGACTTTGCATTAAAGAATTTGAAATCAATAGTGCTTTATTTTTTCAATTTTCTTTGTTCACTTGTAAAATTTTAACATCAGGCATCTGTGTGTGATCGTTTACTGTATGTGCAAACCTACAATATTTTTAAACAAAAAAATGCATACGCAGAGATACATATAATACAATAATTGCACAATCATTTAAACTATTTTAGGTTTTATTACTGCAGGCCCTTATGTGAGCCATCAAGTGCTGGATTTTTGCCTTATCCAACTCTGCATAGTCAGGCAGGTTCAATTAAAAATAATAAATGCACTGCTTTTCTGCTTCATCAGTACAAATGCCTGCAGTTTGTAAAATGCCAATGGTTCTACTACGCAGTGTCAGCCTCCGTGGAATGTTTCATGTTTAATATACCTTTTTGGCCTATAGTATCACAGGTGCAGTAGGTCATTTCCACATCAAAGTCGAATCAGCTCACGAGCCAGAGTTTATCAGGGTTTCCATGACATTAAGCAGACAGAAGAAGAGAGCATATGACTCCCCCTGCTGGATGGGACAAATCCCAACAGTGCTGGTCACCATTTGTACAGCTGGGTGGCCTGGAGAAACTGGGGTTAAGTACCACTCTTAACAGTTACAGTATAACAGCAGTGTCTGTAGCAGGGACTTGATCCCACAACCCAACAGCCAGGAGACCAGGGACTAACACACTATGCTGAGCCACTACATTAGAAAACACTGGACAGAACAATCTAAAAAACATATGATCACTCTCTAGAGATCACTATTATTGACATTATATAATTTCAGATAGTCAATAATAATGTACAACGTACTACATAAAATGCATTCATCACTGTTAAGCAAGGGAACAAAATAAATGCATTTCTCCTTTACCTTACCAAAAATGCCAATAACTGGAAGCTACTGTACATTTAAACACGTAAACTTAATCACTTAAACACTAAGTGTGGTACACACACTGTACAGAAAAAGGGAACTCTATGATACTGGAGTCCAATCATCCAGTCCAAACAGCTTTATCGAAAACAGGGTTGCGGGCGAGCCGAGCCTATCCTGGCAAGCAACGGGCACAAGGCAGGATACACCCTGGATGGAAAATGTGTCCATCGCAGGACAGACACACAGATACAAACACATACACCCTCACACCAGGGCCAATATTTCCAGAAGCCAATTAAGTATGTCTTTGGACCATGGGAGAAAAACAGAGCACCCTCATTAACACCCACACAAATATGAGTAGAAGACACAAACTCCACACAGATAGCTCCACACAAATTGAGCTCAGGACCCCAGTGCTGGTAAGCTGGCAATCCTAACCACTGCAACACCATGCCACAAACAACATCAGTTTTTTTATAGAAATCATAACTTTGCCTGCTATTGAAATGGCCCATGAAATGAATCCCATGTCATGTAATAAAAATCCCATCCCTTCATAGACTCTCATATTTTACTGTCTCTCTCTGTGTCATCAGGAGCAGCCGGAAATCTGCTTTATGGCTACACATATCAGGATTTACAGGCTGAGGGGGATGACTGAAAATCTTTTTTTGCAATTGATGATCAACGTAGTCACAAGTGAAATGACTCCAACCGTATTCAACCTTGTCTCTCTCAAATAGGATTACAGATTACCAGTTCTGTGGTTTAAATAATGAGGAGTCAGTGCATCAGAAAACAGGGGAGGAAAAACAACTTTTTTGAGACACAGAACTGTGCAACCTTCAACACTTACTGTATCTGGGGATATCTGATACGCAAGTTATTCTCCCTATACCCCAGGACATATTTGGGGCAGAGGTTTAAGAAAAAAAAAATGAGCAGCTCATTTTTATATAAAAATACATACATAAGAGAACAAAAACAAACATTCTGTAGTATTCCCCTGTTCAAAAGATATTTTTTATATTATTAGCTAAAGCATCAACAGAATTTATGTAGCATTTATTGAAAGGTTTCATGCTGATGTTTCAGAATACTTACAAACTACACCATGTAAAGCAGACCTTCGAAGCATCATTGACGCAGAAAGGACATCAATTCACAGTAAATACAGGTAGGAAGGTGGTTTGAGCATGCTAACCCACAATGCCAGGCTCACAGTTTTTGGCAGAAATCTGTCCCAAGGGGTGAGAATTTGTTCCGCCAGTATTGTTTTCATACAACGTCTGCTGTGCTTTGGAGTTCTGCCATTCAAACTCTGTTCGACCTGAGCTCTGTCTTGCTCTGATGCTCTGGCTAAACGCCAGTCTTAGCTGATACATCCATGTGTCACTTAAAAGCATTCTCCCAATTTCAGATGGAAGGTTATTCGTAATGCAGGTTTTAGGAAGAGTCCAAAAAATGTTTTTTTTGCATCACTGCAGGTTGTCGACAGCATTTAAGAAAACCAACAGCATTCATCCTTCTCCTTATTTACTGTCCTGTGTTTGAATAAATCAATTCAATATAAATCCCAGGTTTGCTCGCTTTCCCGATTGCACCTTCCCATTGGTGTGACAGGGCTGTCTGATGTCACTCACTCCTGCTGGAGGGACTCCAGCTACATTTCTCTCCAGGGCATCCACGTCTGGGAGAAAAAGCACTTTGTCCGATAGTTCGGATGACATCAGGCATACAGCAGGACAGAATGATTAGCCATGGCACTGAAGGACAGATCACTTTCAAAGCTAGTGAGCTGGATTCATGTCATGTACTGTATAATAATGTCATGTCTCAAAACTTGTCAAGAAGTAAATAAGCAAAAAGAAGGTTAAGCCATGTTACCCAGCCTACAGTACAGTATTTAGCAACATAAGAAGTATAACCCTAATTGCTTGGATCTGCATCCCATAATGTTTTTTTCACATTTCCAGAACTCTGGACCATGCAAGAAGACTATTAAAAAACTAACGAGGCTTCAGTGCAACAGAATTCTGGGGAGGAAAACTTGTTTTTTTTTTTGTGAGACAGTGCTGAAAAACCTACACAACTTATTTGGGGTCATGTGATACACATTATTTCTCCAAAATATTTTGGGCAAAGTCAGGTCATATTTGGGGCAGAGATCTAAGAAAATGTGACTAAAATGTAAATAAAAAATAAGCAGTTCATTTGTTAGAAACACACACCAGAAAAAAACTAACTTTATGGGGGGGTTAGAAAGACCGGGGCTGTTAAATCAATTCACTTCCTCCCTTTTCAGCAGGTTGTTTGCTCATAGAAAAAGGTTGAAAATACCTTGGGGAGCAAAACACTGAAACAAAGTAGATTCTTCCTGTTACAACCTTCTCCCACACGGTGTGTTTACCCAGCAACTTTTCTAACTCATCAGCTACTGCTCGGGTGAGCCTAGCAGCAAGGAAGGTGATGCCAGACTCTAATGAAAGAAATAAGCTTCAGTTGTATCCTCAAGATATGAAAATGGAGTACTGCACTTCAACTGATGTTCAAAAGATGTGTTTGCTGATATACAAAGCTCCAGGCAAAATATTAGCCAGGTTTATTATCCCATAGGTATCTTTTTTGAGTCAGCTGAAAGGAACTGATTGCAAGTTACTGTATAGATCTTCTAATGGCTTAAAGTCAATGATCTTCTACAAGCTCTTAAGTCAACAGATTTTATGATCATAACTCTCACTGCATTAAGTGTGGTACTCCTTAATTGATGTCACAGTAACATCGATGCAGGAATGTTGTGTATGCAAAACAAGAAGCTTAAATTCCTAATGAGCTCACTGCAATAACCTGCATATTAAACGATAGAACTCATAAGCAAGGTCGGTCCCTTGAGTGAAGCTACAGTGCTTCGAAACATTAAATGGCAATTAAAGTTTAATTAGCAAATGCCGCAAAAGACAATTTCAAGTAAAATCATAGAGGTGCTTTAAAAAATTTAGACATTTGATTAGTATAATAAAAGTTACTGTAGCACACTTGTATGGTAGCATACATGGTGCAGAATTCTTTTTCTCTGCTGCAGTATCATTAAAAAATTGCATTACATTGATTTACTTATTCATGCAATCCTTACATGAGCACATAGTGTGGGGAAATAATGCAGGGTTACCTAGTGAAAACTATATCATTTTAACAGATTATAAAATGTTCTAAAATTCCAAAATCTATGAATGACTCTTCATTTGAAATATTCTGGTCAATTTTGGTCATCATGCTGGGAAGCATTTAAAAAAACACAGATAAGAGTGTGCAGGCAGATAAAAGGAATGCAGCCTCTTTATTCTTGAGCAGATAATTCTGAGGGCAAGTTATCAATGAACACATCTGTCTACACAGGCCCATTCATGACCATCTTATTTAGACACTACTGCACTGTTCTCTTGTGAACGGAAGCTCCAGGTTCTATGTAATCAGTCCACAGTTTCTTGGCAGTAGTCTAATTATTTTATACACCCTCTACCAATACATGTTCTGGCATTTCAGCAACCTTGGCTTGTCTCCTACATCTTTATTTCTCGATATTGACCTTATCATTGGTGTAGGACATTTCTGTTGCCTACTGTATGTGTACTTCCCTTTGTACCTTTTTAGAAACTAAAGTACAGCATATGGATTTTGGATAGCAGTTAGTTGTTTTGGAGGTCATTTTGATTAATTGATCGTTCATAATGAATGTGATATCTGAGTATCTATAATGGTTGGTCATTACTGAGGGAGTTGATTCGGGCAGAGGTGATGCATAATTTAAGCTGTTGAATGTCAACCTTGGTGAAAATCAAGAAGGGATCAAAACCATCATGCTATCAGCAATTTGGTGGCTGGACTAAATCAGTGCCAAAATGTGTCAACTGGGTGTCAAAGACAACAGTTTTTAAAATGTCAGGATGATGTATCTAAACACAAACACCAAGATCGGTGCTAAAGTCCAAGTCTTATACTCGTCATAGAAGAGTCTAGTGCCTATAGAACACTTGGGCACTTATTGGCCACCTGACTGTGCAGCACTACACTGATCAAATCCTGGGACTCAAATACTGACTTTGCTGACAGCTCATCTTCATGTGACAACATCGCAGTAGGACAATGCATGTTCTCGTGGCGCTCAAGTAACAATGACTTTCTTGTGAGATAACAGCCACATTGAACCACACTAAACTTAAGTGTGATGAGCTGGCATGACGTATGGCTCAGAGATCAGGGAACAGGTGCATTCTTATCCAGGCTCTATGAGAGTCACGGATCTCAAAAGACAGCAGTTGAAAATCTAAAGATCTGAAGATCTAAAGCCTGGTACCAAAGACAAGATGAACTGTTTATATGGCTTTCAACAGTGGCCACACACTGCTAACCTGTCATTGTCACAGTAAACCCCCTGATGATCAGCCCTCTTGTTGGGAAATGTTAATCACCATACAGTAATACATTGACCTGTGTCATATCTGCTGAATATCAGTGTCCCTTAGCAATAAGTTTGTCTTTTCCTAATTACAGCTATGCAATCACAAGTGGTATATTTCTTTTGACGCTCAGTATATAATTGATTTAGTTTAGAATGCTGTTCATAACCTTACTGCTTTGGAAAACACTTGATGGCCAAGTACAATTAATACCTGAGCTTTTACTGTGTTTCTCAATTTGAGAAAATTAGAGACTAGGTTTCTCAAATTAGATGATAACCATTAATAATGATAACCATTATTTAATCACTCATTTAAAAAAAATAAAACATGGCACATAATATGTTTTCATTCAATGCACTTCTGTTGAAAAATGTAGTGGCTGACATTAGTACATTTACCTTTTTCTATTTTTTTAATTTCAAATGAATTTAAGAACATGATAGTTTAAAGAGTACAAGATTCATTATAAAATATTTTCCTATTTTGCATGACTTGCAGAGAAGTTGGAATACATTTATCTTTGACTTCCCCAAGAAAATGAAATAACTCCAAACATAGGCCAAAGTCAATATAAAAGTTCCCCATGTTTGTGTCTAGAGTTATATCTGCTTTTATAGGACTTTTCAACATATAACAAATGTTCATTTATATTTAAATATAAATAAAGTACGTAAATAAACAGTACTTAGACAAACAGTGAATGAGCATTCAAACTTCAAATCAAATTCAAATCTTAAGTCACACGATTCAAAAAAACAATTAAATCTGGATCTCAAACGCCTAGTTTTTGAAAAATAGGCCCTGCAGGCACGATACAAAAGTGGACAGCAGGATGAAAAGGATTTCTTCCAAAACAGAAAAACATCACATTAACTAAAGAGTGCGGGCTTGCAAAACCTCATTTTTTTACACTGCAGATCACCAAACTTCCACAGAAAGAGAGGAAACACTTGGCCTTACCTGAGATGATAGAAGCAAGGCGAGGAGGCTCGTACGGGGAGGTCTCATAGAACTCTTCTCCTACAAAAAAAGGAGAAGCAAGTTTCAAACCGTGTAAAACAGGGACTAAGCCAGACCTCCCACGCTGAACATGTTTGACAACATATTGGAGCATGCCATATAATTTAAATGAGCTCTATATTTTGGGGGTTAAAAATGGAAAATGAACTGTAGAGCTCTGCACTACGATTTCTACCACCTGGTTAGCCAAACTTCCAAGAGCCCACCTGTGCTGTACGTCACCACGCCTTCAATGACATTCTGCATGTTATTTACACCATAGAGCCCAGCCAGCTCTGGTACTAGAGAGCCACAGTCCACCAGGTTTCATAAGCCACTCGGAAATCATCAACTTTTGAACACTTGGAACAATTTTGCTTTTGGCCGCATAGGCAGGTTATGTTGAGTAGTTTAGAGATAATATGACAGGAAAATACTAAACGTATGTATCTCTGAAACACTACAGCTGGACATTTTGGTTTTAACTGAACTCATTAACTTACCGAAAACTCACAGTTCTTTCCAAACTGATGGAGTGCCCACTAATTCCTGCTGGACTCTGGCTCTTCCGGACTAGGCACCCTTACATTACAGCATCCACCCATTTTCTAACTGTTTCTTCCAATACAGGGTCACAGGGGAACCACAGCCTATCCCAGCAAGCAATGGGCACAAGGCAGAGGACAACCTGGGAGGGACGCTAATCCATCGCAGACACACAATGCAACACACAGACACAAACACAGATGCATACATACTCACACCAGGGCCAAATTTCCCAGAAGCCAATTAATCTGCCAGTATGGTTTTGGACTGGTGGGAGGAAACCAGAGCACCCAGAAGAAACCCCAGCACGAACCAGTGGAGAACATACTGTACAAACTCCATGCAAATAGCACTCCAGGTCTGGAATTAAACTATGGCCACAGCACTGCAAGGAAGCAATGCAAATCACTGCACCACCAGGCTGGCCACCATAGAGTATCATAGGAAAAAACTGCAGTGGTGAGTGTATTTTTCACACAAAAATCTCAGACCAAATTGCCAAACTGGGATGTTGCACTAATACACCTGCATAGGAATGGAAATAAGTCTTGCTTTCCAAAGTTTATAGTTCCATCTGGATTTAGCTTGGTTACAGGCACTTGCACAATTTGTGCTAATGAACTGCACAAATGTACAAATCTTTTAAAATATGCAGCACCTGAAGCTGACTTAGACAGTCTACAGCTAAAAAAATGAAGAAATGTTTTGAACTGCTGTGCAATGGGAGGTTTATTTCATTCCCTGAGCCACCATGATAATAGGTATAAATATTGAACATACTGCACATGCCAGAACCAGCTCAGCACACAACAGTTAAAAACTATTCTACGGCTTTGATCATTTGATGATATGGTTAAAATGAAAAGCAAATTACTTGTTTATTTTAAGAGAAGGCTTAAAGTAGTGATGTGGTAATGTCTAACAAAGAAAAGAGATTCGGGGCACTGACACTGTATGCCTCCCTTTGTATACACTCCGTCTGTCTTGTGATAAAACAGCGACCTAGAATTTTAAGTGCGGGGAGAGTATTTATGGAGAATCACGAATAAGCAATCCACTGCCTGTAGTGTACCAGCACATCACTCCCAGATGGTTCGTAATCTGCTGTTTAAAATTCACAGCCGTTCTATGTGATTTAGAGCAAACCCTCCAGTGTGTAATTGGTTTGCATTTTGATCCTAATAAAAACATAACAAGCCCAGTGTCTAGGAGAACAGGCCCTGTAGGAGCACAGAGGAGGGTGAAAGCATCTACTAGCAAACCCTTAAGGTGATCCAATAACTGGAACATTGAAAAATAAAATGTCATCTATGGGACACTTTCATGTAACACAAGGACCATGATGATCAATATAAAGAAAAATTAACTAAGGAAGTTAACTAAGGAACAAACACATCATAAAAGATTTCTTGGACATTACTTAAAGGAATTTAACAAAAGCGGGGAAGATGAGAGCTATCTAAGATGTCATGAAACATCATGAGAGAAAACTGATTAGCTTTATTCCTGGTTCGTTTTGATCATGAATTAAGGAAT